CTTGGGTTTAAATCCCTGCTCTCAGTTGTGTGCCTTGTCTTGGACAAGTCACTTGACTTTTCAGTTCCCTCATCTACAAAATGGGGGTAATAACAATATCTACTTCACAGGGTTGCGGTGAGTAAATTAGTTAATGCAAGTAAAACTGCTGAGAAAGATGCCTGACACATAGTATGTGCTAATTAGAAAGGAGGTTGATGATAATGCAAAGAGAATGATGACTAGTAAGAAGCCAGTGGGCAAACAGAAAGTCATCGTGAACATCAGAGCAAGCTGCATTGGCAGAGCGGCCTTCTGAGATTACTCTTTGCCCAGTTCCTGATTAAATACCTCCCCAAACCAGGGACTCCCTCATTACCTGTCAAAGTGGCCCCTTCCATTACTGGACAATACTAATTGCTAAAGAATATAGTCAAGGTCATGGATGTTAGAGTCAGACAGATCTTGTTTGAATCCAGACAGCACCCCTTTCTACGTGCCATTAGGCAATTTATCCTAAGCCTCAGTTTTCTCCAGTGAGGATTCAAATAGTATCTGTGAACTGGAAACATGATGAAGAATAGATGAGATTACACACAAAAAACACTTAGTACCATATCTGGTATACAGTCAATAAATAGTAGCTATTTTGACAACTCCAGCCAGTACCCATACTTACTGGAAACAGGAAAGCATGGAACACCAACTTCATCTTTGTCCTTCTTGGCCATCTGGAGGACAGCTGTGGGCCCAAAGATTATGTTGGTATAACTTTGGTGGGTTTCGAGTGATAGACGCCTACAGGAGCAAGGAAAGCCATCCCTTCTCTTTATAGGAGAGAAGGTAGGTGCCTCAGTGCCCGTGTACTAGTGACTTGCCATCCTCTTGGTCCTGTGACAAATGGAACAGCCTATTCTGAGCCAAGGGGCTGGGGAGGGAAAGCCAAAGAAAAGTGGTGGGAAGTGGAGGATTTGGGACGATGATCTGCAGAGGTAACTGCCGCAGGCAGAAGGAGAACAGGCGGAATGCTCGCTAAGTTTTGTGTCAGCCAGACCAGTCTTGGCCAGGACCTTAGGGGGGACGTATTTTTGCTCCACAAGCTAGGTTGCTTCCAGGGTGCTGTGTTTGTATTCTTTTCCTGTCATTTATTAGTGAACACTTCCACCGTGCCTCTACAAAACTAAAGGAAAGATACTGGGGCAAACCTCGGTGTGTGAATGGGTGGGGGCACAATCTGCTCTGGCACCCAGCTGCCGAGGGGTGGCAGCTTCGCAAACTCAGGATTTGAGGGATAACTATAGGAATTGGGTGGATTAGGAGACTTCAGCTCCCCTTCCCCGCCCCCGCTTAGGGTCTCCGTGAAAGGGAACAGGGGCTGCCAGGCCACCAAGAACCCTCTCAGGGTATCTTGTCTGCACAGCTGCACTGCTCAGCCCCCAGAAATGTCTGGCTAGGAGGGTATAGTGGAATAGGGCAAGGAGAGCAAATGTACACCATCTCACGGGCCCACATTGTGGGTGGTTTCCTAAGCGATGCGTGAAGTCCCAGAGCCAAAGCCTGGGCTTGGTGGAGCTTGGTTTGTTGGTATTGTCTGCCATGGGGTCAGGTGCGGGGCAAGTGGAGCCTCTGCCATGGTTTCGCTGTTGAGATGTAGCAGAAGAACGTGGCCCCCAGTCAAGGCCCTCCTGCATGAATCCCAGCTCTGCTGTGAAATAGCTCTGTGACCTTAAGTCTCTCAGGCATTCGGAGCCTCAGTTGCCTCACCTTCAACAACATCTGGTGAGCACCTACTAAGGGCCAGGTGCAGTGAGAGCTGCAGGTGGCAATAAAGAGAAATGAAACACAGTCACTACTCTCCAGGAAACAATCGAGGGTGAGAGACAAACAGCGAGGAAGTAAGGAAAATGTGAAGCGCACGCCCAGGCGTAGAAGTCTGTACAGCAAGAGCAGAAAGGAGAGACAGTTTGTGCGAGCCGGGAAAGACTCCATAGGGAGGGTTACGTCTGAGCGGCTCCCTGCAAGGGGAGTAACGGCTCGTCCACATGGAGAAGGGGCTCTGTATGGAAGGTCACGGAGGCATGACAGAGGATGGCCTATCGAACAAAAGGTACGTTCTTCATGGCTGCGGTGCCAGGCCGCATTTCCCGAAGGGCAGTGCCGGGGGCGCTGAGTCCCAGGGTCGGGGAGGGGAGGGCTGGCAGGAACCAGACTCGGGCAAGCCAGCGACCGGCTCCGTTTCCTGGAGGGCTTCTCAGAACTGTTATAGCACACTGCACTTCCCCGCTGGCACGTTGAGAATAAATGGATTTTTAAAAAGTATATATATGAAATGCCCAGTGATTTAAATTTTGGCAAACAAGACTTAAATTATCTTCAGAACCAAAGTATAGAAACTAGCTAAGGTTTGGCTTTATTTAAAGGGGTGCGGCACATGCTTGCACTGAAGGTACAAGAATATGTTTGTAGTTTGGTAAACAATTGGAGCCCCGCTTTAGGACATCATAGTGTTTATGAACAATGACTGTCTCACCAACAAACTATTTTATCTGATCATAGAAACTGATCATCCTGTTTTTCTAATTTTTCTTTATGATTCATGGTAGTTAAGAGCTCTGCTTCTGGAGACAGACAGACTTGGGTTCGAACCCAGCACCGCCACTTTCTAGCTCTGTGTAATCCTGATTTCCCCATCCACGGAATGGGGATGAGAGTAGGGCCAATCTCTTAGTGTTGCTGTGAGAATGATGAAACCTACATAGTTAGCAGAGTGCCTGGCTCAGTGGTAATCATGTGATACACACGAGCTAACAGCTATTTCTATTTTTACTGAAACCCAGGCTTTGACTTTATTACCTTTTAGCTGCACCCCGTGTGCAAAGCCAAAGGAGAGAGGGGCTAGAAAATGAAGAGCTACCCCCAATAGCTACCAGATGTTTACTGCTGTGAAAACATCTCAGAAGTGAGCTAGAGCTTATCAGCCTCTGGACACATACGGCCTGACACAATTAGTTACATCCAAAGAAGATAATAAGGACGCTGGAAATCAGTGTCCTTTCAGTGCTCTGAAAATTCCAGCCCAGGGGAACCCCGCCACCTTGTGGTAGTCGAGGGAGTGGCCCGCGGCCCGATTCCGGCTGCATCCTCTGCCGCAGAGGGCCACGCAGACCTTCGCTCGCCTCTGATTTTATGAGACCCCCTGGGCAATGGATTTCCTTTGTGCCCATGCTCCAAATTTGGAATCACATGATCTCTTGGTTTACTGAGAAGGAAGTTCAAGTGCAAGGTAGCTCTCTGTATCTAAGTAGACAGAGAATGGATCAGAGTCTTGAGTAGGATTTGCATACAAAAAACCCTCAGGTTGTTCATAAATTTTGACATCTCATATTTCTGTGGAACAGATTTTTTTAGTCAAATAGGACGGCTGACTTTACCCGTGGCAGAAAGGGGAAGCAGGTTTGGAGGCGAGAGCCCGCCATCCTCCCAGACTGTGTAGTGCCTGAGTAAAGCCCCTTTTCCTTTTTCACCAGCACCGGCCCCACGGGTTTGGCTTTTGTGGCAGCAGGCAGCCGAACCTCTGTTATTTTGTTCTGCTGTACATGCGCTAGTGGTGTTCTCTTTTACCAGATCTTCTGTTATCACTAAGGAGAAAACCATTATACAAGATAGCCAACAACAAAGCCGACCTCACTGATAACAAAAATTCTGACCCACAGCATGTAGTCTATCAACACTGAGAGCTGTGGCAGGTCGAAGACAGAACTCAGGACTCCAGGGAAAAAAAGTCCACCCAGCAGCAGGGCCACAGGTAAAACCAGGGCCCGAAATCGGGATCCTGATCTACACTTTGAGGGAAATGAATCTTTTCTTTTTTTAGACACATGCTTTGTTTAGGTTAGTTTCTTATGTCCCTGCGACTCCATTTCCTTCCATTTCCCTTTGGTAAATCTAATTTCATTCCTTTCAGTTCTCTCGCTCTCATTTTTTGTTTTTTTTTGTTTTTAAAGGCGTTCTACGATACCTAAGTAGTTTACTGGTGAATATTGGAATATAGTATTTGGAAGTCTTTTTAGTGAAGGCCTGTTTGAGGTGAGTAAAATGGCTTTGTTTAATCTTCTTAAACATCTGCCCTGATCTGAATTACTGAACATACAATGTTAGAAAGGATATTTTGATTCATAAAAATGGAGAAACTAGGGACAGGGGAGATCGACTTGTTCAAGGTCAGCTTGGTAATGAAAAAGCAGACTTCCTCAATCATGCGCAATTACTCTTTCCATTCCACTCTGCTGTCCCCACAAAATTGAATTAAAAAGGCTTGTTTTGCCCTAGCCAGTGTTGCTCAATTGGTCGGAGCACTGCTCCATAAACCAAAAGGCTGTGGGTTTGATTCCTGGGAAGGGCACATGGCTGGTTTGCCCTTGGGTCCCCCTAGGGCTGGGTGCCTGTCAGAGGCAACCAGTCGATTATTTGTCCCATTGATGTTTCTCTCCCTCTCTTTCCTACCCTTCCCCTCTCTCTAAAATCAATAAACACGTCCTCAGGCGAGGATTTAAAAATTAAAAAAAATAAAAAGGCTTGTTTTAGAAAAGGTTATTTAAAAAATAATTAACAAACCCTTAGCCTCTGAACAAGTGTGTATCTAGAAAAAGAAATTAGCAATCTTGAATTATGTTCTTTACTTTTTTTGGTGTGTATTCAAGGACAAAGGAGAATTCAGATTCATTTGAGTTTACACTATAAAAAACTTTTATTTTTCCCTGTTCATCCTTTCTTAGTTCCCTCAGCTGATTTGATAGAGCTCAAAGACCCTGTATCTTTGGGAATCCAAGTGTTAATCACTCAGTGCTTATCCACAGCACTTTGGTACTTTATTCAAGAAATTGTTTCATTTCAGTTACTTGTCCAGTCTGTAAAACCTAATAGTACTCAACGTATAGTACCGAGCAGTGTTCGGCTAGGGCAGAAGTACAACATGCTAATTAACTTAGTGCTTTCTCCTGTCACCGGCCGCTCTCCCTTAGCTAATTCCCAGAATGCTTTGGGCTTGGCGCTGAAGGCCAAGGTCTCGGGTGGCAGCCCTGGCTGGAAGCAGCCGTCTCCCGTGACCGTCTCTGCGATGCTTAGTAACCGATAACTCGGCGTGTCACTGCTAATTTTAGCCCTGTCTGCACCAACTCAAGTTGCCTAGAAGAGTTGTGTCCATTTTCACTCTCCAGTTGAAAACAAATTTTCAGAATGACAGTGATAAAAACAAAGCAACAGAAAGAAGTAGCATTCAGACTCTATTTTGGGTGGCACTAAGATTTTAAAAATTTTACTATTTTGTGAGACTCCAGAGTCTTATGATCTCCAAATTGAATCTGACATCAATACAATAGCACAAAGTATAACATTTAAAATACAATGTATGGTGCAATCCTGATCTTGCATTTGAACTTTGTTTTTAATATTTCCAGTTTTTCTTTATTGTCAGCTAGTTGCTAACTATACATTATCTGAGACTTTGATGTTAAAATGTTTTGTGAAATGGTGGTGATAATAAATGGTACAGTTTTATTATCGTCATGTGTGACAAGATAATAAGGTGGCACAACTATGTTGTCCAAAAAGTTTAAAAATTTTACTATTTTGTGAAATCCCCAAGTTTTAAGAAACTACCTAATAATGCTCAGCACAACACAACCTAATATAAAGTTGCATTCTCATTTGGAAAACTATAGATGAAAACCAAGGTATTTTCCAAATCCATTCAATGGGAACAAGCAAGCTGAATAATCCCATCCAATCCAATCCAATACCTGATGTTTCTAACAAACCTGAGCCAATATAGTTAGTTATACACAACTTTTACATTCTTCTAAATTAGCCAACAGGCATTAAAAATTCCAAGGTGAAAGAGGGTAGCTATTTTCCCACAATCTCTGTGACCCGTTAGAAAAAAACAAAAACAAAAGCCCAAACCCAGATCAAAGTGTTCTACATACAGGTTCCAACAGACTTATTAGAAAGCATTCAGAAAAAACTTTTCTCCCTGTTCTGAATGTTTCGTGAAGCCCTACTTCTCCGCTTCATAGGTCACTCACCAGTTTCCAGGAAAGTCCACCTACGGTGAACTTCGTAATATTCCAGGGATGGAACTGTCCAAGGCCAGTCAACAAGAAGCAACCAGAAATCCTTGGACAAAATGGCAGGAAGCAAAACCATGGAGGGGTCAAGCCTCGGGCACCAGGCCTGAGGGGACAGGCTACAGGCCTCAGCAGGTGACTCCTTTTCATGCAAGGATGGGGAACTACTCCGAAATAATTTAGTGAGCTCCCACACCCTGAGTACCTCTAATGGTACCGATGAGAACTGCAACTAATTTCTACTATGTGGATCAACAAACTGTTGATTTCAAAAGAAAACCCATTTCAAACATTGGCTCCGCTAACTGTGAAAACCTTGGGTGGTGTCTAAGACATGGATACCAGAAGCACTTGCACTTGCCTGTGGCATTTTTAATTTAGCAGTGATTTTCAACCTGTCACCTCGTGGCACACGTTAATTACTAAAAATCTATGCCACACCAAAATTATATATGTTTTGCCGATCTGACAATAGATATAATTTTGGCTCATTCACACCTGCGGCCATTTTTTTATTTGATGATCTAAGGGAAACAGGTCGGTGCCCGACTTAGTCAGGCGCTGCATGGTTTGAACGTCCCTGCGGCGCACGGTTGGGAGGTGCTGGACTGGAGCACTAGCCGGTCACCCCGGAGCAGGGAACCCGTGTCAGAGCCGCCACCTGCTGCTGCTGCTGCGGTGCGTGCAGCCGAACACGGGTATGAAAGCACGGACACATAACTCGGGGAAGAAAAAGTCCTGTGCCATTTCCCCAGTTTCTCAGGACCCCAGAGATTTTGTTTCCGGTGGGGACAAAGGAAAGGCAGCGTGAAGACAGGCGAGAAGGGCGGGGAGGACGCTGCCCTGAAAAGCCGGGAGCGCGCGGGCCTCCAGCAACTGCCACTTCCCCCGCGCCCGCCAGGACTGCCCGATAGCGCCACAGGGGCCAGGCTTCTTGTGGAATGGCTGTGTTGCAAGAATGATTTTTATTGTAAAAAGAATTTAGCAAATCATTTTATTATTTTGAATCATTGTTATCCATTCTAGGTGGAAACACATCATCAAACAGGGAACAAATTTAAAAATGGAAAAAGATTACTGACCCACTCACGGTGAGCACAATCTTAATGAAAAGGAAATGAAATAAACTTCAAGAAGGCAAAACTAAAGGTCTTAAAAATAAGGTTATCCTACACCAGGTGCGAATTTTTGGTCCCTACGCTGCCTGAGGAAGCACGCCCCCTTGTGGTCTTCATAGCAACCAGACCAAAGTTAAACCAGTCAATTCTTAGGTCAAATAGAACATATGTAGATATGGAATTCTTTACATGTAGATATGGAATTCTGTATTAAATTAGCACCTCGATGTTAGGGTGATTTGTAAAGAATTACATTCATTAGCTTCTAAATTCTAAAGAGTTAAAGACAGATGCAGCTAAAATAATAGTCTTAAATGTGCAAAAATGTCAACTTTTCTTATTAAATTTATATTTTCAATTCATAGGTTTAACTTAAAAATACATTAGGTCAAAATAAATTATGAGATAAATAATTGAAGTTATATAGTGACTAATGAGGTGCTAAACAATAATCTGAAAGTGGAGATTCTTTCATCTAGCATTTCTTGAATGCCTATTAAATGCTAGGCATTGTTCTAAGTACTGGACATATCAGCGAACAAAAACTGAATAAACACACTACTAAATTTCAAGGGAAGTTGTAGTCCTTGAAATGTTGACTGATTAAATATTTTCATAATTATTTTTTAATTTGTTCTGTTCTTGGTGTTAACACAAAAGATATGTGGACATTTAGATTTATTCACTTCCTTCTTGAACATGTACTATACTTGAAAAAACTCACCCTTCTCTGGACTGGCCAGGCATCCTGAGGTCACCTGGGGTGCCAGTCACCAGGCCCTCCCCCGAGCCCCAGCCAGACTGTGCGCGGGGCTGGGGGCAGCGTTCACAGGGGTCCTGCAGGAGCCTTTCTCTGCGGCGCTTTGCCCCAACCCTCTCCAACCCAGCGCCCCAACCCTCTCCAACCCATCTCCGAGAACGCAGTCGCACGGGGGCATCCCGGATACAACCTTGGATTGTGGCGAACCCCATTTAATGGCTCCCCGTCAACAGCAGGGGCCACAGGGACTGGCCTTAGTAGGTAAGGACCAGGGGGCTAGATGAACCCTGCAAGGGAATGAGTTTTTCCCCATAAGAACTTCCCACCCAAAAGGCCAAAGGTGCCTTTCCGCCTAGAGACAGTGAGCTGTTGTCACCTGGTACAGAAATTTCATTAAACTCTTTAAAAAATTTTTTTTATTGACTTTGGAGAAAGAGGAGGGGAGGGGAGGGAGCAAGAAAGAGAGAGAGAGAGACAGAGGGAGAGAGAAACATCAATTGGCTGCCTCCGATATGCACCCCAACCCACAACATAGGTATGTTCCCTGACTGGGAACTGAACCCCCAACCCGTTGGTGTACGGGACGATGCTCCAACCAAGCCACACCAGCCAGAGCCAGAAACTTTATTTTAGGTATATATATTTTTCTACTAGAAAACAAGCCAGATAATTTTAGTATTATATTATTGAATTATCTACATGCCACATTAGTTCATTCCAAATTACCCACAAAATGCAAAAATAACTTCGTAACTGGCTTTCTACCCCTTAGTGTGGTTGAGAAATTTATAGGAAAACATAAAGTATCTAATAAGTACTTACTGCACTGAACAGTTTTGAGAGCAAGAAGAAAACCTGTAACTCTGAAGACTTTTATATCTTGTTCATAGAGTTCTTCAAAACATTTTAAAATCATGTAATTATTCAAAATTGTTTGGTGATCCCTAAGCTTCAGAACTTTGTGAAGAAATCATATAGAAAATCAATCACTTCAACGCAATTAAATGCCTTTTTTTTTTTTTTTTTAAAGTATCCTTTAACTCAGTGGTTTTCTAACCTGGGCATAAATCAGAATCTCCAGGGGTGAGATGGGGCTTTTTAAACGACAGATCGCTGGCCCACATGCAGAACCTCTGACAAGTTTCTAGGGGAGGCTGATGGTGTTGGACTGGGCACAGCACCTCAAGAATCACCACTTTAAGATATATTCTCTCTTGAATCATGTGGTACACTTGAAACTAATATAATGCTGTATGTCAATTATATCTCAATAAAAAAAGCCTCATTTTAAAAAAAAGAAATAAAATGTATATTCCCTAATTCAACAAAAGGAAGGCCTGACCGATGTGCTTGGTTGGTTGGCAAAGGGAAAGGTCACTGGTTCTATCCCTGGTCAGGGCACCTGCCTGGACTGTGGATTTGTCCCCAGTCGAGGTGAGTACAAGAGGCAACTGATCAATGTTTCTCTCCCTCTCCTTCCCCTTCCGCCCCTCTCCAAAAATACATAAATAAAATCTTTTTTTAAAAAAGATGTATTTTCCAGAATTCAAACTAATAAGCAAGGCCCATATGCCTTTCATTTTTCTAACAGTAAATAAATAAAAGAACATTTCATATACAGCCCCATCAAATTTTAAATTTTCAGACTTTTGAAATGTCCTACTTAAATAGAATACATATATAATTTATTCATCTTGGCTCATAATAATTCCCATGAGTTCAAAGCCCGAACCGCCGGATGGTCCGGAACTGGATAACCTGTGACGTGACCACACACAGTGGCTTGAGGGTAAGGGACCGCGCTCCTGTCTCTTCCATGCTTCTTCCCTTTGGAAATCCAGTACGAAATCATGAAGCATGAGAACATGACCTGTCATGAATGTCCTGATAGATGTCACAGTGTATTGCCATACTTAAGATTCAGCTTCGGGAACTTCTTCGTCAGGGCAGCAGTAATATTCCACAAAACATATTTGTCCGTCTTCATTTCTAATCATATACTGTAGTGAGAGGAATCCTCGGTTATCTGTCCGAATAGACACCTTACAAGACAGGACTAACGCCTTTGTAGACGGTTTCAGTAGAGAAATCTTGTATCTGTAGAAGAGTAAATAAAAAGCCGTTATTTGCACACACTTAAAGCAGTGCTCAAAGCTCCAAGAAAAGCACAAAAATTAGCCAAGAACTATCGAGTAGTAAATATTAACAAAAAAATCCAATACTTGTTTAACTTGCTAATATTTTTTCTTCATTAAAAAGAACTTATACACTATAACCCCAAATCCTCCAGTAAATCCAGCATCCCACTATTCATTTTTTAAAATGCTACACTCTCGTCAACAGATTGAAAGTTTAAAAATTTATGTACAAGAAATCTGGTATTTAACCTCATCATCGACGGTGAGCTCTATATTAAGAACTGACCTGTTGACCTGGGTCTCATTACAATGAAATGATTCCATCAGATCAGAGTCTTTGGGATAGTCAAGGTGGGAGCTCCCTGCATTCCCGAAAGTGGATAACCTACAGGAGAAAATGAGGTCATTTACTCACGGTTCAACAATAAGAAGCCACATTAGGATGCAAATAAAGAAAACACTTCTGTAAGAAGCTCATTCTAGTGAACGAAACAGACATGTACACAAATGTTGACAATACACTGGAACCACCACCTCAATGAAGACCCCACAGGATGCTGTGGGTGTACAGGGGAAGCAGCAACCTGGAAACCGCGTTGAGGAATACCGGTCTCCATGCAGCCAGGCATTTGCCTCAATTTCCTACCTTGACCCTGCTCTGACATTGGCCTTTCCTCATCCTTAAATCACAGCTGTGTGGCCGAGGAGAGCAAGTTGAGGAGTGACAGCCGACCCCGACCTGGGGTCCTGTTCCCCACCTTTACTGCCACACCAGGCAATTATGGCTTTTCTGTGTCTCAGGCTGCTCTTCAGGCTGTTTTATGGTTTTCCTCGCTTGGTAATATGAGCAGTATGTGAGCAGACAATTTATAAATGTTCGTATGTTTACTTAATCTGCAAGAACACGCCGACTGTCTGCACTGGGCGGGCACCCTGCGGGGTACTGCAGGAGTGACGAGAGAAGACCCCAGTGCTGGTTTTCCACAGGGTCCGTCCTTTCTCTCTTCTCATGTAACCTTGTCTCTGAGCCATCTCGTCCTTGACTGATGCCATGATTGATGCCCAGCCATGATTGATGGGCCCCAAATTTCCGGTCTAGACCGATCTCCTGAGCTCTACATCTCTGTATCTAACCACTTTCTCGTGTCACAGGCACCTCAAACTTAACACACACAGAAAAAGATTCCAACTCCCCATCCCCCACCACCAGACCATTTCCCACAGTGGAGATGGAAGGCACCCGGGAACTGTCCAGTTGGCCCTGCTGAGAGACATCCTTCAGATGCGGCTCCTCTAAAACACTGCTTAAGTGCCTGGAATTTTAATTCATATCATTGTTAAGTAGGGTTCCACTGATTTCCACTTTGGTTAACATTTTAACAGAACTTGAGCCCAATTTTTAACTGCCTAATGCCATGAGAAGGGCCTTCACCTCCCCTAAAGTAGATATTAAAAAGCACTTTACTCATTAACATTCTGAAATATTTCAAGAGAAGAAATATTTAAATCCTCTCTCTAAATGGGTTCTAACCCCCACAAGAATCTTGTCATTTCTTAAATTGTTGGGTCAAAATATCAAGCCCAGCTTGATAGTTGCTGATACTGTATTCCCTCTGAAAACTGCCCTTAACCCCACCAATACTTGCTAAGTATTCAGGTATTGGTTCCCTAAGTATCTATGTGTATTATTTTGGTACTTAATATCATGCAACTTTGTTTCTTTATGCTGTTTCACATACTTCCTCTTCACCTTCATTTTAAGCTGTTCCTTCTCATAGTACTAAATAAAGTAGGTATGTGCACAGTAGACAATCAGTAGATACTCAGTGAATGAACCATGAATAGAAAACATCTACTTCCTTTTGTATCTTGTACTCACTTGGAAGAAACAAGATACCATATAATACAAACACCTTTTCTAAAAGTGAAGCCCAGTTTCCCTCACAATGTAAGTGGATCTACAACACTTTGAGTGGTACAACAATGAAAGACTCCTGGTCTATGAGTTAGGAGACTGGCACTAGCTAACTCTGAAGCTCTTAAGCAGTGAGTTAATCTTCCTGGGGCTTAAGCGTCCTGATCAATAAAAGCGTGAGGTAAGACTAAAAGCTGTCCAAAGTTCTGAACATTCTAGGAGCGCGGACAATCCTAAAGGTCCTGCATCCTTAGCAAATGTGTAAACACGGAGATGGAGTGCACCGTGTTAGCTACAAGCACTTTGCTTCAAGTACCTGAAATAAGGCTTCTCAGGAGACATGGTGATCTGTAGGACCTCACTTGTCATATCCAATTCGGAAAATGCTTCGCGAAGCCCCTCAGACTGCAGAATAATTTTATTAACAACGTTGGTGCTGCAGAAATCAAAATCCAAGGTTTCCTCAGGCTCCTGAGTACTGATTTTACAGACGGTCACCACTCCTCCTTCTTCCAGAAACAGCATCAAAGGGTAACCATAACCTTCGTAACACATTCGAAGTGCAGTTAAATTCCCTGCAATGGAAAGAAATCTTGCTTTGGACTTAGTTGTATAGCTCTGTGTTGGGCGTCTCCTCTAATGATACACGGAACTCCTCAAGAGCACTCTAGTCTGCCCAGTTAGAATTCCAGCGCATATGTATGTCTCTCTCTGCAAGAAAGGGTCACGTCTTCCCTGGTGACAACTCCCACACTAATTGAGAGAAAATTGGGAACGAAATGTAACATAACCCTGCAAGCATTTTCCGGCTTGCCAAGACATCTCAAAAAAACCCACAAAAACCCAAAAACCCCTATTGATTATAGGTACACACAGCTTCAGGGTAGAGTCTACATGGTCTGGAAGTACAAATCATTGAGTTGTTGCAGAATAGGCTACGCTATTTCTTGAAAGTCCGATCTGTGCAACAGCAGATTGCTTTGGTATTGTCTGTACTATAATGTCAGTGTATTCACTATAAGGATCCTTCCAATCTTTTCTACTGGGAGACATTCTTTACATGTCCCCAAATTTTAATTTCAAGTTAGGAGACAAAGAGAGAATGGTTAGTGGAGGTTAGGGTTTTAACACGGCAAACCACCAGACAGGAAGAGGAATTTGATAGGACACTCCCGCTCCCCTCCCTCCCTGAAGGAGGGAGAGCCACAGTGAGGAAGCGGGGAAGGCAGATGCTGTTACGGAAAACCAGCTGCATTAGAAAATGTGTAATTAATATTAATGGAATTGTATGTGTAAAATTAAAATATATTTTCCAGACAATCTTAAGTGAATTTTCCCTAGCTAATCTCATATTCCTTTCTTATGAAATAAAATCATTATTCTGGGGATTCCTTGCAGTTTTATAGTCACAGCAACCAACTTCCCTATTCCTTAAAAAATCCCTAAAGAAATGAAATATATACATATTTTAAAGGAAAGCATTTATGAAAATAGACATAATTCATAAACAGAAGTTAACGAAAAAAGGAAAAAAATCTGAATGCAGTAAACTGGGAGTCAGGAGAATTGGTTTCTGTTTTCTCTACCACTAACTGTAATTCTGGACAAGTTAGGAAAAAGAAGCAATTAAAACATGTTTTCACAATGTTGAAGATATTTAACACAAGTTCAAAGTCTTTTGATCAGTTTAACAGCTTTGTAAGTTGAAAAAAGATGAACATAAATACTTTTGCAAAAATGAAAGGAACTTCATAAGCACCTTTCTATTAATATTGTAAAAAGTCAGAACCCATTATTGTGACCATTGAAAAATGAATTTGCAATTCATTTGCTGAAGAAATGTTTGTATTACTTATATTCTAATAACTTTTCCGGTCTTTTTCTGACCATTCTTCATAATGCTTTCATGTCATTATAATAATAAAATGGTTCACCTGGCACAGGATTTGATCCAAAAATAGATAAACAGTCTAAGAGGACAGTTAAATTAATTCGAAAAGTAACAGGTTCCTCCTGAACTTTAAACTCTTGAAATATTCCAGCCTGTGGAAAAAAATAAACATGAAAAAATAAGTACATTGAAGAATGAGACCTCACACATAAGGTTCTGGATTTTACTTTGGATGTTAAAAAAAAAAACCCAAAACAATATTATGCTAACTCCATGAAAGTCATTTCTGATTGCCAATCAACACATCATAAGCTTTTCCAACTACCATCCCTTAGAATAGCACTACTCAATAGTTAAAGGTGTAACAAGGGTTTTGGTCCCCTGCAAAAGCCTGTGAAGGGCCCTTCATGTGGTTTCTTGGATCTAAACTATCCCCCACCTGATTCTACCATCTCCTTTTGGGGCCATCAGTACAGGAAGATCTTTTGGAAAATAGCCAAACAATGTGATAATGCATGAGTCATAGTTTTCAATTTCTTTTGAAGACAGGAACCATGTCTTATTTTTCTTTGAGGTCATACTGTGCACTTAGGTGTTCAAAAAGACGCTGGATTAAATCTAAAATCTGAACCATACAGGTATGAGTTTGTAAGAACGGAGATTATATTGTAACCAATAGAAGCAAAAAAAGTATGTTTTTATAAAGAGGTAGCGGTAAAGAGCATATACTCTGGAAACAAATGTTCTGGGTTCTCACTTACTGTTTAATCCCTTAACCGTGCGTCAGTTTCCACATCTGTAAAATGGGAGTAATGCCAGAGCCTACCTCTTAGGACTATTGTGAGGCCTAAGTGAGTTAAATGTATAAAACACAAGAGTGTCTGGACTCAATACATCCTAGACATTATTATTCTTAATCATTACCTCTGTAAAACAACAAGGGAAAAGAATGTTACCAGCACAGAAAAAAAAATGACTTAAGTTCAATGACGTCTACGAAGACCTTAGGAATTCACTGGCCTGGACGAGGAACACCCTGCGTCCCTGGCTTACGGGCGTCCCTTACGTACCTGAATAAAGGCATTCGCTTGCACACACTTGGCGTTTTCCACGGTCACCTTGATTCCATTTTTGGTAGCGAAACACGTGGCATGCTCCCGGAAATGAATGGCCTTCAGGACGGTGGAGAGGTTCCTGACGTTGTCGAGGCTGGCCACCAGGCCGCAATCGCTCTGCTCGGGGGCCCGCTGGGGCACGAGCGGCATGGTCCCCGCACGGCCGGACGAGGGGCGCCCGGGCGCCGAACCACCTGGGCAGACGCACAGTCAGACCCCCGCCACGGCGGGGACCTGGCCGACCAGGGACGGAACCCCACCTCTGCCACTTAATTGCAACTTTGGGGAGATTAACGACGGATTCCTCGTCTTTAATAAGACGACACTAATACAGGGCAAATTGTGAACCATGAACATAGGTAACCAAAGAGGTAGTTCTCCTTGGGGCTACTTTCGCCACGTCAAACTGGGGTCACGTCGGGGCCGTTCAGCACCCCCACCCTGCCTCTTAATAGAACAGGGGACAGACGCCGAGTCCTTAGAAGGGCCACCTTGAGTCCCAGCCCACCTAGCTCACTCGCTCGCCTCGGGGCGGCATCTGTCTACTGGTCCCGGGATCCCGAGGCGCGAAAACCCTACCTTTGCGGGGGTATCTGGACGCCTAGGAGCCCTTCCCAACCAGGTCCCTGGGGAAGCGAGCAGCAGCTCCCCGAGAAACTCGAAGGAAGTGGAACAGCTCCCGCCGCTCTTTTCAGATCGGCGGCCCACCTCGGCCACCGTCACCATAGAGCTAGGCGAGGCCTAGAGAGGCAAGCGTGCAGCACGGCGGAGACCGGAAGAAGGCACGAAACAGCTGGAGGAGGACCACAGAGATCGGAGAGAGGAGCGAGCGGCAGTGCCGGAAGGAAGGCCCTCGGCGAAGGCGGCAAAGCAACATGGCGGCCACCAAGAGGAAACAGCGTGGAGGCCTGGCAGTTCCAGCGAAGAGGCCGAAAAAAACCGAAAAGGGTGCCAAGCCGCCAGCTAAGCAGCGCGACAAGGCAGAGGAAGCAGAGGAAGAAGACAGAGACCGCATCCCAGGCCCCGTTTGCAAGGTAGAGGGGTCTACTCCCGGGCTTCACCTGCGGCCGCTACTTCGTGCGTCTTCCCTGTGGTTACCTAATTGCGGCTCTGCGGATTCCCGAGGTGCTCGGGTGGTATGGGAGGCTGGGTGTCAGCTTTTGGCCGGATTGGCCACCGCATTTACGTCTAATTCTCGTGCACGTGGTTCCCCTCCTGGAGGCGGCCGTCCGCGCCCGTGCGCGGCCTTCAGAGGTCTTACCTGGCTCACGGGAAATCGCCTTACGGAGTGCTCAGTTCTAGTGTTTTGTTTCCTCAGTACCCCACCTCCACCCCGCTTAAAGTTATTTCTGGCTGTTATACCCCTTAACAGAGGCAGGTATTCTCGTGTTCTTTTATAGTCAACTACTGTCAGTTAGGGATCCTGAGGCTTGTTATGCGGCCCATTAAAAAGGTACTGTTTTTGGAATTAGGACTTTGACTTGTTTGATGTTTAACTGTCAAGGGATAACGGAAGCTAGAGTAGATAGTATGAGTTTCACCGGCATTCATCAGACTTTTGCCGTGTCAGGCGCTATACGAAGTTAGGTTTCCCCTGCTTTGGGGTTGCAAAACTAGAACGTGACCTCGTTCTTCCTTCTAAAATGTTGTAGTTTAGAAGGAAACTAACAATTCATACAAGTTGATGGTCTTTGTTCAAAAGAAGGTGAACACGAGTGCTTGGACTTTAATTCAACTGGGAGCTTCCTAAGTTAGATCGAATACTGTGGAGACAAGCAGCACCTTTGATTTATTAATTTCTGTGACCCCCCCACCCCCAGCTTAACATGGGACTCTAGTGCACAGTGAGTGACAGCTAAATGACCCAGAGTGGTGTGGTGGCAAACGCTAGGAAGGGAATTAGCTCTGAGGAATGAAAGATGAGTGTAATTCTAGTCTTACTATTAATTAACAGCGAGATCTCGAGCTCTTTTCTCATCTGCATAGTAAGAGGAAGGAAATGTGATGAACTTTTGGTGGAGAATCTAGTAGATTTTCAGTAAATGTTAGTGCTCTCTCGCTGTAAGGACCTACAAAGAAATATGATAGCATCAATGATCTGAGTCATGATATGAACAATTCTATTGACGTGCAGAAGGTAGAGATTACTTTTACCCTAGGATAATAGGGTGAGGGATCATGAAGGAATTATTTAGCCTTTGAGCCGGATCTCAAAGTAAGGGCAGAATTTCGATATTCAAAAATGAGAGGGATGTTTGCAACTGCTGTTGCTTTCTAACACCGGTGCCACCTCTAGCTTTTTGAACTCCAGCCAAAGGAGAAGGGGGGAAGGAAAGAGGTCTCTATGCCATGGTTCCTACAAAGCAGACTGCCTGCACATCAACCAGTGGTAAAGCACCAAGGAAGCACCTGGCTACCAAAGCTGCTTGCAAAGAGTTCACCGTCTTCTGGAGGGGTGAAGAAACCCCATGGTTACAGGCCTGGCGCTTTGGCACTTCGGGGAAATTAGACCTTGATCAGAAGTACACCGAACTTCTGATTTGCAAACTTCTCTTCAGAATCTAGCATGGGAAGTCACTCAGGACTTCAAAACAGATCTGTGCTTCCAGAGTGAAGCTGTTAGTGCTTTAAGGAAGCCGTGAGGCCTCTCTGGTTGGCCTTTATGAAGACACCAAGTTGTGTGCTGCCCAAGCCAAAACAATTATGCCAAAAGACATCCAGCTGGCACGCCATGTTCGTGGAGAACATGCTTAAGAATACACCATGATGGGAAACATTCTTTAAAAAATAAAATAAAGTTCTCTCCTTCCTGTTTTTGGTAGTTCTGAATGTTAGCTATATTCTTTTTCCATGGGGTCAAAAGGTACATTAGTATATGATTGCAGGTGGAAAATAGGGGAAAGAAATCAGGTATTGGCAGTTTTTGCATTTTTGTTTGTATATGACTTTAATATAAGTGTGGGGAGATAAAGCATTAAAGTCATCATGTTTCAGTGAACAGGTTTCAGCAGTTCAACTTCATAATATAAATAGACCTATTAAATTTTTCTGGACAATGCTAGCATTTGGGGTTTTTTTTTTTAAACAAATAAATTTCTTATTGATGGCAACCACATGGTGTTTGTAGCATTTTTATCATGCAGTAGATTCCATGCATTCATCACACCTTTCTGAGTTGTCCTTCATGCAAGTATGCATTTTCCAATGGTGGTTTTCTGTGCTGTTCTTGTAAGTTTCCTGGTAAAATACATTAAACTATTTTGAAAAATGAGAGGGAACAATATAAGAGAGAGGGACAAAACTGATGAGAGGTGTTAAAGTGTAGGAAATTCTGAAAATTCAAAAAATAGAGCCAGGTTGGCTAAAGTGTAGGGGTGATTTGGGACAATATGAGGTGAAAATATAAATGTATTTTAGCATCCAGTGTTAAAGCTACATCATTTTGGACTTTGTTTTTCTGATTAGAAAAACCTGGGAGGTAGGATGTGCTGGGAGCTGCCTCTAAGGTTAAGCTGGTGCTGCTCAGCTCCCCGTTGGAGGAGCTCCTGGCTGGGAAGGCTCGCCAGGCTGTAAGGGTCTGAAGTGGGAATAGCAAAGGATTAAATATTGTTGCAAAGAGAAATTGACCGCATTTAGTAGTGCTCATCCGGGCGAATAGGGCAAATGGAAGAGTCAAGGCCCGGGCGGCTGAAATGACGGTGGCATCTTCAGAAAAATAGATTAACAAGGCAATTTACCAGATGTAAGGTTTCGTAATCTAGAACTGAGTTTGAGATTAGTAGGACTGGAGAGAGTTCTTTACCTTTCCGTAGAGCTGACAGTTGAAGCTATGGGAATGGTTATGAGAACTCTACTGGAAAGAACAGAAATATAGGAGGCTAAGAAAGAACGTTAGATTAAAAAATAAAAAATAAAAAAAGAAGAAAGAATGTTAGAGTCAGGAGGGGGAATTGGAGAGATTGAAGGAAGAATCAAAAAGGGAAAGAAACCAAAGAGTATTTCTGGCTGGCAGGCGGGGTCAGAGAATGCTAATGAGAGATCGAATTAAAGGTTTAGGTCAGGATGGTTTGGCTTGCTAATTTGGCTTGTTTAAACAAACAAGTTCTGTTCACTCTGCGATTTAAAAATCTTTCAACATTTTATTTTTTCTTTAGGGCAGGTGGAAAAATAAGGAACGGATTCTCATCTTTTCTTCCAGAGGAATAAATTTCCGAACAAGACATTTAATGCAGGACTTGAGAACGTTGATGCCTCATTCCAAAGCAGGTGCCTTTAAGTCATACTGTCAAATTTATGTGTATAAACTTGACTGTTTACATGTTTCCACTTTAAGTCACACTTCAGTTCTTCAGTCTTAAGAGGTAACGAACCACTACTCTTCCTCAGAAGTGTGTATTGTTTTCAGTGCCAAGATTTCTCCAGTTAACATTTTGTCAGAAATGCTTTGCAAGATTTATGAAGCATTCTCTCTCTTTCTTAAACAGGGCTATCTTAATTACTGAAACATCCCTGAAGGTCCAGAAATACCTTCATCGTATGCTCTCTTTTAGGTCATGGCTTGTCTTTTAAATGATTCAGGACTGCCATGTGTTGCTTTTTGCATTAAAAACACAAACAAAAACTGTCCTTACTTAAAAATTAATGGCCCTGGAATAGGATTTCAGGAGTCCTTAAGTTGGGGCTCAGCCTCCTCAATGCCGGGCTAGCCTTTTGAGCAGTGGGGGAGCCTACCAACAAGTGAGGAGTACGGTCCAGTGCTGAGTTCGCAGCTGGGGACAGAGCCCTTGTGCCGCCTTCGCACCTGGGCCGGGAGAAGCTTTTTGTTTCAACTCGGTAATAACTTGGTTCTTTAGATCGCTATTCCCTGGGGTCTGCTGTCTGTCTGCAGATCTCTGAAACTAATAAGAGGAGTTTTAATTTGTGTTGGTTTTTCCTGTGATAATCAAAAATGAATTTTTTGACTTAGTGTCCTTTGGCAACTGTGATTCATAACTAAATTTTCACCATTTCAAAGTTTAATTTGAGTGTTCTTAAACTGGAGTCCTGGAACATAGTGTTCAGTTGTGAGAATTTTTCCACTTTTGAAAAAGATACACAGAATAAATCCTGAGGAAACACCGCTTACATCATTATTTATAATTCTTCAGGACTTTTTAATTGTTCGTTTTTACATTTAAAAAGAATCAAAATTTTTAAAGAGGTCCTGTGTTTTCCGATCTAATCATTTTGAATATTAATAAACTTGTTTAAACTGAAGATTTTAAAAATAATTTTCTAGAAAGCATGTATGATTTGATTGAAGGTGCTTTGAAATCTTTTGTTTATTTGCTTTTTCTTTTTTCTCTCTAGATACTAAAATGGATCGTAAAGATAAGTTATTTGTGATTAATGAGGTAATTTTAGAAAGTCTTTAAAATATTCTGGGAATGATATTTAGAAACAAAATATTGTAGAACACTAAAGATACTTCATTTTAAAAAGGCAATTATTCAATGACTTTCACTATTTTTTAGTAAAAAATACATTTTATTAAATCTTCAATAATCTACCTTCTAAATTTCAATAGTACTGTCTACATCGTATAGTTTGGTGCTTCGGTATATATTATTTCTTGATCTTATATTTACCTTGTTTCAACAAGCATTATTGATATTTCTTGACGAGAACGTAATCATTTTTTCTCTTTATGTGTAACACTAATGTATAGTGCAAAATGCATACTTGGG